TGCCCCTACTTGTCCCACCTTGTGCACGACCCTGCTTTTCCTCCAGGCAGACTGGCAGGGGGTCTCTGTTCTGTCCCTACATGACCACCGCCTTCCCTCCACCTTGTGCCTGCAAGAATCTAGTGTCCCTGGCCCAGCAGCTATGCAGGGAGCCCTCTGCAGCTCCCCTATCATGGCCCCACTTGCCCTCTACCTAACACCCAATCACTGCAGTCACAAACTGGGGGCCGAGAAGAGAGAGGTTATATTCACAACCACATTTAGCAATGGATTTTTCTCATCAATTTCAGTTTGTCAGTTGAAAGCCATGTTTACCGCCATCAATTTAAATTGAATCCTGACAAACCTAAGAATAATGGTACTGCCCTAAAAACTGAGGTGGGTTACCATGCATACCACCATTCTCATTTGCCCATCATTGTACTGGGCTTGTGGTACTCAGCATTATGTGGAGTGGAGGGGGAGCTACAATGAACACCTAGTACCTCTTTTTTTCCCTCCCTGGACATGGAACTGTTCCCCACAGAGCCGCTTTAGCACCCTCTGCAAACGACAACCATGATAATTGTATGATAATAGCAGGGGAGGAGAATGGAAAGAGATCATTTTGGGTGAGGGTAGAAAAATTGATAATGTGGCCCTGGAAGGAAAGAGACCACAAAGGCTTAAGAGAAACACAACAAGAATTCAGAATAAGAATAAAGCCAACAGGGACATTAGGAAAGTTGGGACTCAGTTCTCCACGGGTGATACAATGATGGAAGCTGCAGTGAAGATAGGGCTCAGGCGTTTTTAACTTTGTCATGGTGTTAAAAACTTAACCTTATCTACACAACAACTTCCATTGTTACTACAGCCAATGGAGCTGACTGTTGATGAATACACAGCCAAGGGAAACTATTTCTGATGGATAGATTACAGTCAGTAACAGACAAGAATGCTGAGTCAGGATGGGGCTGGAGCAAAAGGAAATCTTGACTTGGGTAACATCATCTGGTTATCACATTATGCTACATCAAAAGTTACAGTGATGTCTTAACTTTTTCTTTTAAACAAATCACATGGGTATTGCGAGATGATTAAAACAACTCCTGTCATACAAAACAAGGAAAAGGAAAAGAAAAGAGAGAAAGGAAAAAAAAAGGATAGTTCCCTCTAAAAATCAGGTGTAATAAAGGCTACAATTCCTGCTCTATTAAGATTTTCTCCTCTACTGAAGGGTTTTCAAATTTATCCTTGGAAATAAGCACCTCAATCTACAGTAACATAAAATGCTTGGCTTTCAGTAACAGCCTAATAAAGAAGAAATTACTATTCCTTGTACAGGTTGTCATTTAAAAACAGCTTAAAGCATAAAAACCTTGCTCACTGCCTTTGGCATATTTCTTTAATGTCTGAAGAAGCTTAATATGCTATTGCAAATAGTGTTACTTTCATTTACACCAGGTAACATCAACACTTTCAATGCCAATGTCAACTCTGACTTGAACAGAATAGGGGCCAAAACACCAACATATAATTTTTTTTTGCTTAAAAAGAGTTTTGCTCACCATGAAATGGATTCTTTGCTGCTGCCATTAGGATCCACACAGACCTCCCCCACAGCCAGTCCCAGCCCCCTCACCCAGCCCCCCACTGCTAAGCCCCAACCACCTTAACCTGGACCCCTGGAGTCACATTCCCCCTGCACCCAGAACCACCCCCCCATGAGCCCCTGTGCATCCAAATCGAGGCACCCAAACCCAGATTACCACACACAGAACCCACTCACCCCACACCTGAATCCCCCCACATTAAGCCCCTCCACACTTGGATCCTGCTGGGCTGAGCCTGCCTGCCCCAAACCTAGATTAGGGGCCAGTGCTGGGACTGTGTGCAAGAATGTCCCTCTCACTTCCTATCTTGGTGCACTTGGCATGGAGGGGCAGGGCCCTGTGGTGTTTCTGGGGCAGGCCCAGCCCTTGCACTGGGTCAGGGGTAGGTGCATCTTCTTTGCCAAGTAGGTGTCCCGGAGGGGAGAAGTTCCCGGATGATCTCCCACCTCCATGCAGCCAGTGGCCTGTGCTCCTCATTGCCATGCTGGAGGCTCCACATTTATTTATTGACAAAATATGCAGAATTTTAAAATATTGTGCACAGAATTTTTTAGTTTTTTGGCACATGTTCTCCCCGTTGTGGGGGAGCCGAAGTGCACAGAGCCAGCCATGGAGAAGTTGGTCCATGCTACTAGCAGCAGCATCCAGGGGCTGGCTGTGTTCAAATTGTGGCAGCTATAAAAAGTTGCAGTGTCTACTAAAAACTGCGGTTCAAGCAACAAAATCATGGTCCTTGATTTTCTTACAGCCTTTGTCATTTACCCGACTACCAGAGTGGGCTGAACGAGGAGAGAAGCTGCTAACAGAAAGAAAATGATCAGGTAAGTAATTTCTCATTCTGTTGCACAGCTTCTCTCTTCATTCATTACTCACAGGGAATAGCGAGCAGCAAGTCACAGCACTGGGCTCGGGGGGCCGTGGGCAGAATGAGCCGAGTTTAATACTTATTGTAGAATAACAGGCAGGAATGGAAGTTCATCCCATTTAAAGCAAGAGCTTTATAAACAAAGACGTTATGTGGGAATCAACCTAGTACCACCTTGCTACCAAAGGATACCTCTGTAAAGGAATGGAATCTTACTTGGCAAATCTTCCTCTGATGAGGCTCATACATTCTCCCTCCACTGCCTCTAGGGCAGGGGTCGGCAACCTGCGGCACGCGCAGGGCCGTCCTTCGGATTTATGGTGCCCTAGGCGGGATTATTAAACTGGTGCCCCTATGCCTGACTTGCTCTTAGCAACACATACAAACTTACAGTACTGGAAAACTTGCCCTCTGCACTTTATTAAAAACAGTTTAACTTCATTGAGCACCCTGTAATGGCTGATGGACTAGCACTAAAGAAGTAGCGCTATAGAAAAAAAATTTATTTATTGACAGAATGATGCAAATAATATAATTTTTTAAATTTGTCAACATTTTATTGGAAATTTCTATGAAGCGGTATTGAAACAAGGATTTGTTTTTAATTAAAAGCAATCTTTCTGGCTTTTTTGGCTGCAAAATCAGTAATAACGACATCGTATGACAAAGACAAAGTGAGGTCTTGTTCGACTGCAAGAATAGCAAGACCAGTCAAGCATTCCTGACTCATTGTAGAATGGAGATAGTTTTTAATGAGCTTTAGTTTTGAGAAACTCCGTTCTCTGATGCTACTGTTACAGGAATTGTCAGCAGAATACGAGTGGCAATGTACACATTAGGATATATGTCAACAAGTTTGCTGATATGAATAAACTGTGCAATGTCTGTTAGGATAAAAGATATTCAGGCCTGTCTGCAAAGGCCTGTACTTTAAGAATTTAGGTGTATTCTTATCACTTGGCTAGTTCTAGAGGTATAAAAGAAAGAATCAAAATCACTGTCTGCTGGTGTAAGGGGCTTCTCTTACTGTCACAGTCTGAGGCCCTGTTCTTAGGCTAAGGCCTTTGGCTAAGCAGCAGAGGCAGCCATAAGCTAGGAAGCGAACAGTCACATCCTCACATTCCAAACTAGTCACATTGAAATAAGGTGCTATTGGGCTGTTAGGCACTATTAGGACAGGATTGTATTCTTATCACCTCCAGAGAAAGGGAAGTGCCTAGAAAATGTAAAAGGAAACTTAGTTTGATAGCATCCTGTCTGGCAAGAACTCACTTATCAATAGCTGGGATGTGAAATCCTCACTTCTGTATTGTTTTGTCATTATAGTTCCCACTTTGCTATTGTTTGTCTGTATAATCTCTGTCTGGTTCTGTGATTGTTCCTGTCTGCTGTATAATTAATTTTGCTGGGTGTAAACTAATTAAGGTGGTGGGATATAATTGGTTACATAATCATGTTACAATATGTTAGGATTGGTTAGTTACATTTCAGGAAAATGATTGGTTAAGGTATAGCTAAGCAGAACTCAAGTTTTACTATATAATCTGTAGGTTTCAGAGGAACAGCCGTGTTAGTCTGTATTCGCAAAAAGAAAAGGAGTACTTGTGGCACCTTAGAGACTAACCAATTTATTTGAGCATGAGCTTTCGTGAGCTACAGCTCACTTCATCAGTCTGTAGCTCACGAAAGCTCATGCTCAAATAAATTGGTTAGTCTCTAAGGTGCCACAAGTACTCCTTTTCTTTTTATATAATCTGTAGTCAATGAGGAAGTGGGTGGGTGTGAGTGGGAGGGGGTGGGAGGGTGAGGGTGTGGGAAATGGGAACAGGGGTAAGAAAATTGGAATCATGTTTTGCTAAAGGGGGAAATGGGAACAGGGAATGGGAGTAAGGAAGTTGGAATCATGTTTGGCTAAGGGTAGGAATGGGAACAGGGACACAGGTGTAAGGCTCTGTGGTGTCAGAGCTGGGAAGGAGGATACTAAGGAAGGAAACTGGAATCATGCTTGCTGGAAGTTCACCCCAATAAACATCGAATTGTTTGCACCTTTGGACTTTGGGTATTGTTGCTCTCTGTTCATGCGAGAAGGACCAGGGAAGTAAGTGGGTGAAGGAATAAGCCTCCTAACAATGTCCATCATCGATTTTGCATGTGGCAACACTGATGACAATGTACTCAATTCTTCGTACAGTTCAAGTCCATTTAAATCAAAACTATCACCCTGCTTCAGGAAGCTCTCTAGGTTCTTGCACTTTGTCATTTGCTGCTCGTGTTTTCCTATTTCGTTGAATTTAGTTATGTTATACAAAAATACAAACTGTTCATGGTGTGACCTTTCATCAATGGTAGATATTGCTTTATCCATCACAACATTAAAAAATTCAACCTCAAATTTATTTTCTGGATCGTCTATGGGCTCATCTGTGCCTTCATATTCCGCTTGCTGTTTTTTCCTTGAAACTCGTGTCACGTTTGGACATGGAAATTTTGGTTCTATACCAAGTGCCTGTCCAAGCTCCCTTGCTGTAACCTGTGCTTCTTTGAATCAATTTTCTCTGTATTTCACTCAAAAGTCTTGTGTGTTGTTTAGTAAGGTAAGTGTTGAATCAAGCTGCATCATTGGACTCTGCATTATTTTGCTTACACTTGAGATTTTAGCAAGAATGTCATACCAGATTACGACAGATGTTAGAAACTTGAAGCTGGATATTTCAGAGGCCAATGACTGTGTTTCACTTTTAACTTTTGAATCTCTGGCTTCTTCCGAAATAGCAACCAGTGCTTCGTAAACTTCCTCAGATTGATGTCTCAACGTTTTTGCACTTTCTACTCTGCTTTCCCAGCGTGTCTCAGATAGAGGCCCAACGGTAATACCATTGACATATGCTTTGATTATCTGCCATCGTTGAGTGGAAGCTGAAAAGAGCATGTAAATGCGTTGCAGCAAACCAAAAAAAGAAACAGCTTCTACGGGAAAACTTGGCCATATCACACAAAATCAAATTAGGCTGTGGCATGCACATGGAACAAAAAAGGCTCGTGGATTTTCTGCCAGCAATCTAGCTTGCACACCAGAAATGCATCCTCTCATATTGGCACCATTATCATAGCCTTGTCCTCTAATGTTCATTACGGACAATCCCATTCGTTTTAGATCATCAAGGAGAGCTTGAAGAAGTCCAAAACCTGTAGTGTCCTCTACTTCTAAAAATGTGATAAATGATTCCTTAACTGTAATCTGTGCTGAATCACTAATGTCGACAAATCTCACTACTAATGACGTGTGTTCTCGATGACTTACGTCCGGAGTGCAATCTAGAATTACGGCAAAATATTTTGCCAAAGTAACCAATGAAACACTTTTGTCTCTCACTTTATCACTCATTAGCATGATCAGTTCATTTTGAATTCTTGGTTCCAAACAGTGGTCATGTATTTCATTTTCAGTTACTCTTCGGAGATGTTCACTCATCACTGTGTCAAATTTTCCCAGCAGTTGTATAAGGCCCAAAAAAATTGCCATTTTTGGGCTGGAATAATTTCTCAACACTTCCTCTAACAGTAAGATTGTTTGTTGATAGATATTCAACAATAGATAACAGACGTTCAAGAACACGACGCCAATGCTGCTTCTCTAACTCCAGCAATCTTTGGTTTTGGGCTTCAAGAGTTGTCTGATTTTTTTAACCTTACACTCAGATCACACCATTGGTGCATACTTTCATTGTGGTGTTGTGCCTTTTCATGTTGCGGTAATATGTGACTAAGATTTTTCCAATTATTAATACCCATGGTTGCTATCTTAAAATTGCAACTATTGAAAAGCTTGCATGGGAAACAAAATACAGCATCTTTGCATTTAGAGTACACAAGCCACCATCTGTTGACAATTTCACCATTAGAAAGTCTTTTGTAGTAATTGTTTTCTGTGAATTTCCTACCTCTAATGTCTTTAGGATATTCAAGACCTTTTATTCTCCCAGGGCCTCTCTCAAGTATAATGGCACGGAATTCGTTGTTTAAAGACCGCAGCCATGCGCCAATGTCATCTATATCCCATGCTAGTACAGTTTCAACTGTTGTAATTTGTTGTTTTGTGTCTGCATCTGTTTCAAATGATTGTTCTGTGTGTTGTTGCATTTCTTGAGCTTCCTCTGCATAAAAATTTTCTTGGGCAGTTACTTGATGATCTTGATCAACTTCATTGTTTTCATGACGTACAAACTTAAGTAGAGAACGCTTCTGTGCTTGTACAGCTAATCCTTTTTCATCTTTCCATTTTCTTTTCTGTGACCCGGAAAGTTGTTTTCAATACGACATAACTCATAAGGATGTTTTTTAAAGAAATAACTGTTTAAATTATCAGATCATCAGAAATATTATTTAAAATAACTAATATAGGATACCCGTGAGTCTGTGACCTTGAGCTAGTGTGAACACACCTCACAAGGCGCTCCGCCCTGACTGAGACCCAGTAGAGTTGGACACCCATGTCATTTTTACAAAGCCACTTTTTAGTTTTAAATGTATAGTGGGCATCAGTCTTAATGTTAGTTACAACTCTCTATCAACCTTATACTGTAACTAGATCAATGGCATTATCCAGTTTAATAAGCTGGGTTTCCAAGCAGTGGGAAAATATAACCCTAGTTTTACTCCTAGGTAAAGCACAAAGTGACCAAAATGAAGTCAGCCCAGAATCATCTCCTCTCGATTAAGGCAGCACAGAAATGCGACAGGAGTCCTATTGTGCCTTATTATTGTTTGGAAAGACATTAGCAATAGCAGCACATTTTGGGCACGGCCAGAAATACATGACAAATCACTGCCTCTAAAGTTCCATCAAAACCTGACATTCTCACAGCTCCAGCATGATCTGCTGCACAAATTGTTCACAAGGAAGCGTCCCTGGCCTTTTTAACTCATATTAACCATGTATTTACTTTATGAAAGTTGGACAAAATATTGTGAAAACGTAAGACATTGGCTGCCCAACCTCTGGGCTGGCAGAAGCTACACTGACTCACTAGGAAAAAAAGCAAGAGACTCTGCGTACACCATATGGTCACTCTATACACTAGTAAGGAGCTGAGCATATTGCAGTTGTTAGAGGGCTCTATTTAGCAGTAACAGGGCTATAAGAAAGCCAGTCAACATTTTTTGTTTCTCTGATGAAAACTGGCCCACTCCCTGCCCCAAACCACACTTGTCACAAATAATTGTCAACTTAATTTTCTGGTTTTGGCTAAGATATTGATTTTTTAAAAAAAATATTGAAATTGGATTCAGGATTGTTAGCAAGCATTTTTAGCAAACAAAGTTGTTAAATTACAAGCTAAATGGCAACACAGTACAGCTTTCATGCTTGGCTCACCCCCAGCCTGCTGGTCCAACAGCTGCAGTAGAGGAGGAGATAGGCGGAAAACTGCAGGACTCCAAAATCCACCTCTTAGGGTGCAGAGTGGCAACAGCAGCAGCAAACCCTCAGGTCCGAATACATGCTCCGTGGGGGGCGGAGAGGAAGAGGAGGAAAGGGGGGTGCTCCGTGGGAGGAGAGAAGAATGTATGTTATGGGGGCAACAAAGGATACTGCCAGAGCCGCCAGCCTGCCTCACCTCAAGCAGGGGTAGAGAGTCACAATCACAGGTGAGTTCCTTCCTCCTCCCCTACCCCCGCCCCTTCCCAGAGACCCCGGCAGCCAATCCCCTCCCTCACTCAAACTGCGTTGCATCCGGCTCTCTCTAGGACCCAGCAGCCCTGCTCTTACATGCTCCACTGCTTCCCATCTGTCCAGGCTCCGGACAGAGTGGGGCCCTCAGCAGAGTGGTGCCCTAGGTGGCTGCCTACTCTGCCAATGGCTAAGGACGGCCCTGCACGTGGCAAAGGCGGCACGCGAGCCAATTTTTACTGGCACGCTGCTGCCAGCCTGGAATACCAGCCACCGGCTCTGCTCAGCCTGCTGCCAGCCTGGGATACCAGCCACCGGCTCTGCTCAGCCTGCTGCCAGCCTGGGATACCAGCCACCGGCCCCGCTCACCTCGCTACCGGTCTGGGGTTCCAGTTGCCAGGCCCCCTGCCAGCTGGGGTCCAGGCCTCCAGCCCTGCTCAGCCCTCCTGCTGGCTTGGGGTACCGGCAGACAGCCCAGGGCTCTGCTCCTGGCCTGGGCCCAGGGTTCTGCGACCCTTATCAAAAATTACACTGCAATTAGCTTAAAAACTTGAAAACTTAAAATATTACAGTAATCGTTAAAAATGTATAATGTTAATAAATACATAGGTTTGATGAAACAAAGTAGCTGTACTTATTTGCCTGTGCTTAATTTGTGTTTTCAATGATTTACCTTCTAAAAAAATCTTGCATGTCTCGCACCCCCACGGTGTGCGTGCACCCCAGGTTAAGAACCACCGCACTGAACTGATAAGATCTGCATTTTAATTTAATTTTAAATGAAGCTTAAACATTTTTAAAACCTTACTTTACACACAATAGTTTAGTTATATCATACAGACTTAGAGAGAGAGACCTTCTAAAAACATTAAAATGTAGTACCAACATGCGAAACCTTAAATTAGAGTGAATAAATGAAGATTCAGCAAACCACTTCTGAAAGGTTGCCGACCCTTGCTCTAGGGACTTCTATGAATAGTTTCCAAGGTGCCTAGCATGTCAGCTGGTGCAGGATTTTTATATCTTGTCTGCAGCATCTTTGAGGCCCTAAGGCATTAGCATTTTGGATAGAATGAAAAGAACAGAGTACAATAAACATATCTCAAGCATATAGAGTGCATATCTTTAGAGATCTAGGAATACCCATTTATGCCACACACTTCCAAGAGTTAGAATAAAATAATGGGGGAGCTGTTTTCCAGGATTTGTGGAAAGACGATGAAGTTACTCATCTTGTGCAGTAACATTGGTTCTTTGAGATGTGTGTCCCTATGGCTGCTCCACTATAGTGTGTCTGCATCCCTGCACTGCTGATCAGAGAACTTTGGTAGCAACGTCCATTCAGCCTGCATATGCACTGCTCCTCACCTGCCATGAAGCTAGCCAGCGTGTGTAGGTGAACCCTTGTTGGATCATATTAAAGAGGTTCTGTATTAAAATCACAAATGAGTTTGATTCCCCATAGTTTAAATTCCAGGGTATTACTAATTAAGAGGTCTCTTGGTTTTTGGTACTGTTTCTCTCCCTCTATGTGTGAAACTTGCAAACTGCTAATTGTGATAGTACATTCTAAGACAGAGTCTGTTCTCAAAGCAATTCTTTGTAACAACCACCACTCAAACAGAGAGAGAGACTCAAAGCAATATGCTGTAACAACAGAAACAGCACCCAGAGATTCCCCGCCCTTTTGTTGTATTCATCTCGCTTTGTTAACAATTGTGATTAAAATAGAGATAGAGGATGTATGTGGATGGATGCTTGGTGTGGATAATAACTGAATGATCAGGGAGGTGCCAGCCTAAGAATCCAGTGTCCATTGGCTGAAGAAGGTGTCAAGTGGAAATAACGAGAGGACCCCTGGAGGGCAGACTGGAATCCACCCAACAGCCTCAAGAATGGGAGAATCAAAGAACAAGATAACACCTGGCAGCACGGAGCCATCAGGAATGTGGCATCTGCTGATTGATTCAGCAACAGCATGATGAAGCAATTCCCATAAACTGGCATAGGAAGAAATTCCTAATAAAATGGACTCTAGAAAGTGAGAACTTTGGGGTCTGATTCTGCAAACCAACTTCCAGGAGTATCAGATGAACATCTGAGAAGGCCCTGCTCCCTCCTCATGTCCAGGCCACCTGGCCAGTGGCTTGGCATGAGCAACTCTAAGGCTGGTAACTATGATAAAAACCTTGCAGAACCTATGTGTGTGTGTATGAATGAATGTGTGAATAAATATGAGATTGAATGGAACGTTATAGCTATAACTAACTGCTTACTATGATTCTTTCTGTATTCACAATAAATGTGGTATTTTGCCTTTTCCCCTTTAATAAGATCCTGCTGGTTTTTATTTTATTGGTATAACACCCTCCTCAGTTCCTTTTCTACTGCAGTCAATAACAAGAACTCGGGAGGGTGGGGAGGGTGTGTCATGGAGCACCCACAGGGGGACACATCTCAAAGAACCATTGTTACTGCACAAGGTAATTTCATCGTCTTCTTCTTCGAGTAGCGTCTCTGTGGGTGCTCCATGGTAGGTGGCTCCTGAGCAGTGCCCAGCACTGTGTCTGCAGCCGAGTGTACATACTGAGGACCTGGCATACAACTGAGGACAAACTAACAGGCCTGTAGTTTCCTGGATCACTTCCCCCGCCCCCGCCCCCCACCTTTCTTAAAAATAGGAACTATATTAGCAATTTTCCAGTCAGAGGGTATGACCCCCCAGATTTACAGATTCATTAAAAATCCTTGCTATTGGGCTTGCAATTTCATGTGCCAGTTCCTTTAATATTCTTAGATGGAGCTTATCCAGACCCCCAAATTTAGTCCCATTAAACTGTTTGAATTTGACTTCCACCTTGGGTGTGGTAATTTCTACTTCCATATCCTCATTCCCATTAGCCACCCTGCCACTACCCCTAAGCTCTCTATTAGCCTTATTAAAAACTGAGGCAAAATATTTGTTTGTGTGTTGAGCCATGCCTAGATTATCTTTAATCTCCACTCCATCCTCATTGCTTAGCAGTCCCACTTCTTTCATTGTTTTCTTTATATGGCTAAAAACCTTTTACTATTGCTTTTAATTTCCTTTGCAAGGTCCAACTCTGCTTGGCTTCTAGCAGTTCTCACTTTATCCCTACACTTTGACCTCCAAGAGGAATCTTTTCTTGCTGATCCATCCCATCTTCTTTTTCTTGTAGGCTTTCCGCTTTCTCTTAAATGACTTGTTTGAGATGCTCTCTCATCCAGCTTGGTCTGCAACCCTTCCCTATAAATTTTTTCCCCTTGGTTGGGATGAAGGCTTCAGATACTTTCTGTGACTTTGACATAAAAGTAATTCCAAACCTCCTCCACATTCAGATCCTAAAGTTCTTCAATCCAGTCCACTTCCCTAAATAATCCCCTTAATTTTTTAAAGTTTGCCTTTTGAAATCAAGAACCCTGCTTGCAAATCTACAATATTTTTGTTTATCCTTTCATTTAGTTTAAACTGAATTAACTCATGATCACTTGAACAAAGGTTATCCCCTACAACCAGTTCTTCTATGAGGTCCTCACCACTCACCAACAGAAAATCTAAAATGGCATCATCTCTTATTGGTTCAGCAACTATTTGGTGAAGAAATCTGTCAGATACCACATCCAGGAAAATCTGGGCCCTACTGTTATTAGTAGCACTTGTCTTCCAATCTATATCTGGGAAGTTAAAGTCTCCCATAATCACACAAGTCCCAGAAGTATTTATTTCATTAAAAACATTAGAGGTCTCTATCCATATGCAAATCGGATTGGGTGGTCTATAAACACACCCCAAGCAATATATTAGGGGAACCTCTAGTAGCTTTCTTCCCCAAAGTGATTTTGGCCCTAACAGACGCTGTCTTATCCACTTCTAATTTCTTTACAGCCTCTCTCATCATTAATATACAATGCTACTCTACCTTTACTTTTGTCTTTCCTGAACAGCACAGACCTTCAATACCTGTACTCCACTCATGACTACTATTCCGCCATGTTTCTGTTATCCCTATAATATCGGGTTTCACTTCCCGCACCAGTAATACTAGCTCATCCATTTTGTTACCCCAGCTCCTTGCACTGGTGTACAAACATCTTAGTTGTTTCTGTTTGGCTTCACCCACATTCCTCACCAAACTGGGTAAAGGAATTCTACTGCCAGTTTCACCTACCGGACTGTTAGCTTCATTGGTATCAGCACTATTTTTCCTCTGAACATCCATTCTCCTACCCACTGCTGTTCCTTTCTCCATTGCTGTATCCTTTCTTGATTTTCCCCCTGCTCAGTGTTAGAATCAGGAGTGGAGATTACACGAGCATCTCCCAACCATTTCCCCTGAATTCCTAGTTTAAAGCTTTTTTAATCAGTTGTGCCAACCTCCAACCCGGAAGTCTATTTCCCTACCTACTCGGGTGGAGCCCATCCCGTAAGAAGAGTCCTCTGTTCATGGATGCCTCCCAGTGGTCAAACATCCCAAAGTGCTTCTTATAGAACTACTGCCTGAGCCATCTGTTGATCATCATAATCTTGTCTCACCTTCATTCTCCTCCTTTAGGGACAGGTAGAATCCCACTGAAGATCACCTGAACCTCAATTTCCTTAAGTGTCTTCTGCAGCCTGAAATAGTGTTCCTCAATACATTCTGGCGAGAATCTAGCTGTGTCATTTGTTCCCATGTGAAGGATAATCACTGCTGCCATTAGGATCTTCATCATCATCAGGTCCACATCACATATCTTAGCTCCTGGCAGAAAGTGCACCATTCTGTTCTCTGGATCAGCTCTGATGCCAGGCCTGTCTGTTCTTCCTAGTAGGAAGTCACCAGTCATGTAGTCCTGCCTTTTCCTAGTGATAATGTGATTCTCCAGCCTTCCTCCTGTTCTTTCTGGCTACAAGTCCTCTTTTATTCTCCCTTGCAATCTTCTGTAAGTCATCCTGTATCCTTCTGGAGCCCTGAACTCCAGGTATCTCCCCTTGCTCTTTTCCTCTTCTTACAGGACTAGCCGTTCTTCTTCCTTGTCATCCCTCCTTCAGTTACAGCCTGCTGTACCCCTTCTTCATTTTCCAACTCAACAAACCTGTTTCCTGAGCTCTATTTCTCTTTCACTAGCCGGTCTTTTCCTATGCCCGGTTCTCAGTCACATGCTTCCACTGGCCACATTCCTCACCCACCAGTCTCCCCCTCAAAGCTCTTCAGTCCAGCTTGCATCTGTTAGTCTTGACTTTTTCCTTTAAGCCTCCTACGCCTTCCCTCCATCATCTGCTCAAATTCCCTTCAAAACTCAACCATAGTTTCTACCTGCATCTCTAAACCTTAGATCTTCTCTTCCATCATCTCTAACAGGCAGCAGTTCATACAAACGAGTCTCTTTTCAGGTACCTGTTCCAGGATCATGTACATCCCACAGCTTCCACATCTGGTCATCTTCATTGTCTCTTCCATTCCTTGGGTCACTGCCACTGCTGCCTCTGTACCTGTCATAGAACCATAGAATATCAGGGTTGGAAGGGACCTCAGGAGGTCATCTAGTCCAACCCCCTGCTCAAAGCAGGACCAAATCCCCAATTTTTGCCCCACATCCTGAAATGGCCCCCTCAAGGATTGAACTCACAACCCTGGGGTTAGCAGGCCAATGCTCAAACCACTGAGCTATCCCCCCATCAGAGCCTTCCTGCCTACATACCTGTCAAGGAAGAAGAAAAAACCAAAACACCACGCCCACACCAAAACACAACTGTACCACAACACACCCCTTCTCCTAACCTCCCCTGTTTATAGCTCTGTCTGCTGGCTCCTGTGCTGCTGGCTGGCTGACTATTTGGCTGCCTTCATAGGACCCCTAATCAGGGAAGCCCCTTCCCCTAAGCAGGGTTTAGCTTCTCTTACAGCACACTGTCCCCTGCTAGCCTCTGCAAACTGAACAGGAAAAAACAAAAACACACAAACACACACACTGCCCCTAAAGGAACAGGGGCTTGCTTCCTCCCTTTTCCTCCAACAGAGCTCCCACTTGAATTCCCCTGTTTACAATTCTGTTTGCTGGCTCTGGTGCTGCTGCTTCTCTATACCTTTAGAGAAATAAATTTATTTTGTACTAATATATGCCTGAGACAAATTTACATGAAAATAACATTCCCAATCTCTCTCGTTTTCATAAAGCACCTACAGATTTAATGTACACTAGGGATAGAGTGTGATCAAGTTAAAAAAAGAAACAGTTAAAGCGGAAAAACACTTTTTTTTTTTTTTTTTTTTAAAAAGAGAGCTTCCTCTGCTTTCAAATATGAAAATGTTGGAATAGCACAACTAAAAATAAAGCAGAACTGTTAACTTAAATTGAGTTTGTGAAACTACTATTTTTGTTTCTGTCTTCTCAAGCATGACTGACCAGCAGAGTAGCTGGTGTTTTAAACAGTTGTTATATATAAGTTTCAAAAGAGTCAGATATCTTTATTTCTAACTGCAGCCACTTTTTCTTAGGATAAATTAAGCAAAAATTTATTACAACAGAATAAAACATTAAGATAGCACATAGTATTTCAATAATAGCATATAATGGGGGGGAGGGAGGCTCTATAAATGAAAATTTGTCACTACCAATAAGTACCGCTTTCAGAAACAGTACAAAAGCATGAGCAATTCTGCCACAAAAAATTTCTACATATATAACAATAAAGTACTCTTTTTTTCCCATTTCAAAAACGTCACAATTTAACAAATTATATTGCTTCAAAGAGTTCCATCACAAACTAGTCTAGTTTGATTCATCTTTGTTGTTAACCTGTATTGCCCAAACAGTATAAAAATATGTTTTTTGTACATTCCAAGAAAGATGACATTAAGCAGTTATTTAACATCAGAAAAAAATTAACAAAATCTTTTTTGTAAACACAGGACTTGTCTATACGATATGTTAATCCGCACTAGAGGAGTGTGAATTCTAGTGCACACTAGCATGTTGCACATTAACTAGCCCACATTGACCCTGCTGGAGTGCACTCTATTATATATATATAAATCAATATATTCTAATTTGATCAATATATTATCAAATAATATGACCTATGTTATTAAATACAAAGATGTGCATTATGCTATAGGTTAAAAATGTATACAGTTACAAGATAAAGGAGCAGATTTTAAATGTGCACATACTGTTAAAAAATATATATATATACAGCATCTTGAACAATCCAGGTAAAAGACTGACTTTATGCCATGCAAGTCTGCATAGTTCATACACCCAGCCTACCAACATCAACTATATACATGCAAAAGTTAAAATTCTGTTTAAAGTTCATAAACCCTTTTAAGACTCTCCAGGTCTTCTAAAGAAAATTGGTGATTTTGCTTTTTTGAAAGAGAATCAAACAACTTCTGAACCTGCTCTTTTTCATTCTTGCTAAGAAGCGTCAGCACTACCTGAAAAAATATAATTTGTATAATTAGTGCACATAGGTATAAGTTTTCTGTTTTTCTGTTAAGTGCTAAATTTAATAAGCTTTATACTGCATTGAGATTTTTACATTTTGAGTTTCTTGACGTTTTCATAGAGAAAAATTGCACTGAATATATGCTCTTACCTTAAACCTTTCAACTTTACTCAGATAAAGAAGGTGCTGATACACAAGGCCAGGGTCTTTTCCAAGTAGATGATATTCCAATGCCTGCATAAAGATCAGAATGGTATCCCCCTCTAGTTTGTTACTTAGCAGCATTGGCAATTTTTTGGGATCAATAATGGTTAAAAGATCTGCACAGGCAGCTTCATCCTTCTTGGCATTCACTGCATTTATAATCTGACCAAACTCATAGGCATTAGATGGTTCTGAAATGAGCAGTTTTTCAGAGATTTTCAATGGCAGACTGTTTTCAGCTCCTCCTTTGGCAATTTGGTAATTAAGCACAGCATCCTTTGAGGTACTGGTCTGTCTCTCCTCTTCATTACCCTCATTTACCTTCACAGGAAAACAACAGATCATTTTAATTTTGACATATATAATATCTCGAGTTTCATAAACCAGATGACAGCATGTCCTGCACTGATACCACTAAATTAGAGTTTACCACTTTCCTCATCTTGTGGGAAGACTTTTTGGAACATGATGGCTATTCTCCTTTCTATGTCCCACTTTTCCCTTTACAGAAATGGTATCCTAATATTCATGCAGGTTAAAAGTTTGTTTTTCTTAGTTAGCAATGCATTATTTTACACTTGTCTTCAGTATTTTGCACCCTCTTCTTAAGGAGAGAGCTGAAAGTTTTTGGCAGAAAACTAAATATAGGACCAATCACATCATAGTTTCAAATATACATACTATCTATATGAATTATAGAGCAACAGCAGTCATACTGTATTTTAGTCATAGTGAATAACTACTAAAAATAGGCTGTCTTTCAAAACATGAAGAGTCATGAAATTGGGTTAACAGAATGAAAATTCAGGGGTCAGTATCTCTTGAAATTTATATAAAATTTTTCTAGAAAGTTTCAGGGTATAACGTCTTTGCGCCTAGTCCGCTATTCTTTTCTCTCTTCAATAATCTGATTGTGTTCTCTACTTCTTTCTATTAGGGGAGGTTTCTTGATCTTATATGTAGTATATTTTGGTTAAAATGAAAAAGCCAACTTCTAGATTATGCCAGTTACATGAAGTTCCCCAAATCCCTTTGACTTTGATGGGATTCCTGCATGGGACCACTTGCACAAATGGGTCCTGCCCTAATGGTTTATATTACCATTATATAGTTCCAGTTTTAATAAAAGTTATACAACAGTTTTCAAAATGAGAGACCCAAATTCTAATCTCACACTATATAGATCAGTAGCGATATTTCTTGTAATACAACAAAGAAGAAAGACACCCATTCTTACAGGACCACAAACATTTAGTCACAGAGAAATACCACCATCAAATGATTCCATATTTAACAGTGACTCAGTATTATCTGGGCACCAGCAACTCAGCGCAGTTGTTTTAACCTAGAATATTACATCACTTGATTCTTTTACTACAATATCAAAACTAAGGGGAAAAATAGCATTCTCTGATGATTTTGTAGATTTTTCACCCACACTCTACTTCTCCAATGCATGTTCAGTATTCCATTCCTCCACCAAACTGCCAAACTTAACTGAAGGTATAGCCTCTGACAGCACACACAGCCACAGGGGACTCCTGGACAGCATGGCCTCTTGCTGGTTCCCCAAAACAACATTTG